ATAGTCACAACGGGATTTCAAATTTGTCCCTACGTCCTAAGTTTATTATCAACCAGGCCTTTCTGGATTATGTTAAAATAAGCTGGCGTTTGCTCCTATCATCCAGGGTTTGGATTTTAGCCGAAGTATGGGATTCAGGAACAGACCTACCTTTCTCCCTGCCGGTTCCCAATCTCAGTCAAGCCAGAATTTATGGTGTGTTTGTTATGCAGCCTTCCTTGTGTCTGCCTGTGGGGTTTGGTGCAGTTTTGCACGCTGGGGTGGATTGGCTGCCCTGTGCATGTGCTGTGGGCATTCCAGGGGCACTAGCCGGCAGGACCCCGCTCCTAGGAGACTTGCAGTCTGGCCACCAGGATGTGGCAGGCTCCTGTGAAGGAATCGGAAGAGCCCAGATCAGATTGCGCAGAATGAAGTGTTGGGCCGGATGGGGAGAGACCGCACTCTGCTCGCAACAAATGCATTCGTGCAATGTAGAGAAAGGAGCTTCCCCCCCACCCCCTCCCCCCGGCCTCAAGACACCTTTCTGCCATCTGTCCAAAAAATGTCACTGGCGATATACAAGTGTATGAGGTCCAGCCTGTGAACGGCACCCCCTAGAGTTGTACACTGCACAACCTGTCTCTCAGATGACCCTAAGCCCCCTGAAGAACCCTGAGGTGCCTGTCCTGCCTGGGTGCCAGGGAGGGTGGGGCTGCAGGAGGGCAGATCTGTTTTATTTTGTAGCTGATTCTCATGCCGTTTGGGTGGTGCCAGCTATCAGCAGCTCGTGCTGGGTAGGCTGTGCCATCCTGCTCCCTGGGTCACTGCTATTTGCCAGGCTAAACAGGCTCCAGGAAGTGACCGGGTCTCTCCCAGCATGCGGTCCCAAATGAGCTGTTGATGCCTCCTATTGGGATTGTGGTTGCGGGGTGAGGGCTGGGAGTCTCGACCTCACGATCACCCCCAGTGACCATCCCAACCATCCCCACTCATCCCCACTCGGGTCTTTCCTCGCTCCCTGGCGCTCCTCTGTACTCTCTTCTTTCCCTCTCTTCCCTCCCAGCCCCCTCTTCTTTTTAAACTGGGGGAGGGACAGGGAAGAGACTGTCTTTGATCTCAGTGGAGGAAAAAAGTCTGTTCTGTTCAGGCTTTTGGCTAACACAACAAACAGTGTTTAAAATTTAACTTTGCTTAATTAATTAGTAATTCTGTTTAATGCTGTCTGATCTCCCTCCAAAAGGTATTTTGAAGCTTGAGAAGGGAACATCAAAGGGAGCCGGGTGAAGATGGTCAAGTAATGCATTTAATCTGGCAGTTGCTGGGGGTGGAGAGATGCCAGGTTGGGAGCTAATGTGGGAGAGAGCCATCATCTGGTAAACACAGCCAGCAGGCTCCTCGCAGCCGTGGTGTGAGAAGGGACAGGGAGCAGTTTCCAAAGAGAAGGAGCTCCACACACCACCCCCAGACTCATCTGAGCTGAGAATTGGTTTGAAGAAATCAGAGTTGACATTTTCTTTCTTCCATGCCTACTGTGTATGGTTGGGCAGGTTGTGTACTGCGCAAGAGTTTCCAGGTAAGCAGGTGAGCAGCAGGTGAAATCCAGCCTGCACCCTGCTTATCAGGGTACCCTGGTGGGAAGGGTACCTAAGTGCAGTTCATAAACTTTTCTATAAAGGGCCAGGAGAGCACAACTTTAAGGCTTTGCGGGCCCTATAGTCTCTGTTGTGATTACTGAACTTTGCCATCATAGAGCGAAGCAGCCATACACAGTGCATATGAACGTGACTGTGTCCCAATAAAACTTCATTTACAAAAACAGGCGGTGGGTGGGCTGGCTGTTCTAAGTCATCTACAGGTACGTCACATCTAAAGGTATGATAGGAACGTAGGCTATAAACCCAGAATACAAGTCTTTGAACATGAAGACTTTTCTTTCCTCCTTGCTCCAACCCTTCCCTTCCTTTTTCTACTCTTCCTCCAGCTTTCCTTTCTTCTTTCAAGTTAGCAGTATCTCCTGTTGTTGCTGTGAGTGATTAAAGAATGATCAGAGTCCCTCTGAAATTATGCCCCCCCAGAAGATCATCTCTGGGGGAAAAAAAAAATCTCTGGGCTGAGCAGGAGTAGGAGAGAGAGAATGGGCTCAGAATTTGGCGCCAAAGCCCATCTCGACAAAAATGCCATTCTCTTTGCTGGTTGGTGGGACCTTGGCAGCCCGAAGTGGGTACCCTTTACCCTTCTTGTGCCTGCCCATGAGCCCAACGATGGATGTATGGAGGGCAGTTTGTTCTGTGCAGGGGTGGCGGGGCTGGGTGCTGGTCGGTGTTTGGTTTGAGAGGGTTCACATGTGGGTGTAGAAGCGGGGCCCCAAGTCCCAGCCCCTGCCTCTGGCACTGGGGTCTGCTAGGCTTTCCGATCATCTCTGACACCTCCTCTGGCCATTGGGCGGGGGACAGTGACAGGGTGAAGGGCCTTCTTCGGTGGGGGCGGAGGGCGCTGACTGTCCCTGGTCCTAGGCCCCAGGGCTCGGGGGCAGGATGGCTCCCAGTCCTATTACCCATCGGTGGCCAGCCCCATGGATGTCCGAGGGGTTTTCTGAGCTGGGATGGGATGAGGGACCCCTTGGTGAAGAGAAGGCAATCCAGACCACGCTGGTCTTTAGAGAAGAGACAGGAAGAGGGTGAGCGGTCGAGGGGCGCGTTTTCTACCCCGTTGGGTGAGGAGGAACGAGGGGAGGCAGGGAGGGCCTGCATGTGGGGAGGGGTGCTCCAGAGAAGGAGGGAGCAGGGACAGAGCTTTCTTTTCTTTGGGTTTTATCAAGTGGAACTTGAAAGGCAATGTTGAACCTGAAGGTGGTTTTCTGATAACTTCTCTTTGAACTTGAAGTTTGGTTTCGATAAGCCTGGCTGGCTTACATCTCCAGCCAGGACCTCTGTGGAGGGAGGCTGCAGCTTTGAAGATGGAGCTGGGCTTTGTTTTCCTTTCTTCTTCCCCCCACCCCCCACAGGGGGGCCGAATAGAGGATGTTGCCGGCCAGAAGAGCACCATGGTTTCTCCAGTGGGGCGGTTTTGGGGTGAGGGGGATCCTCTGGATCTGGGCTGTCGGCCGGGACCACGGCTCCTCTCCATCGTGTGCAAAGCCAAGCTTTTACTGAGCACCTGTTGCACGCAGGCCACTGTGCTAAGGAGGGACTTTCCTCATTGCCTCCCCCCACCCACTCCAGTAACCCTGTGAGGAAGAAACCATTTCATCCCCATTTTCCACACGAGGGCACTGAGATCCTGAGCAGTCCAGGGCCTTACCCAACGTTGCCCAGGCCAGTCAGTAGCAGGGTCGGGATATGGACCCAGAGTATCAGTCCTCTCATCAGGACGCTCCCGCCGAGCTCAGCTGCGCCCACCGGAGATGCTGGGGGCTCCTAGACCTGAGGGCTAGGAATGGAGAGAGACTCCGCTCCCTGACTCGCTCTAACAAGCCTCTCTAGACCTTTTTGCCTTTTTCTAAGTGGGGGCGGCCGTAGTGCCCACTGCTTTGTGGCCTGGTCGAGCACTTTGCCTTGCACCCCGGCCGCTCCCACGATGGCGGATGCTCGGGCCCAGCAGGACCTGCAGATTTGGGGTGGGGGAATCAGGGTGGCTATGTGCTTGGCTGTCCTTGGGTCACTGGCTAACTGCCGGCTCGACTGCCCCAGGACTCAGCATTGCACTGGGCTGGCTTACCGCCTGGCCATGGTGGTGTTTGCTTTGGAGGAGCAGGGAGGGCAGGACCTGGTTTTATCCACTAGATCAGAAGCCGTCAGCGCCGTCAAGGCCCCCCACCCCTACCCCGCCCCCTGCCCTGGAGGCCTCCAAGGACCTGGATCTCCTTTTAGGTTTGTCCTTATCAGCCTCATTCTGTGAAAGCACCAGGAGGGAGCTGGGGTCTGGGGCTGAGACAGGGTCTCCCGCTGGATCCCTGACAGCTCTAAGGAGTTGTTGCCTTGCTGTGGGGGCGTTGCGGGCCGGGGGGCAGGGGGATCCCCCTGAATCCCTCTGGGTGTACCCGGAGTGAAGAGAAAGGGAATACTCAGGCCCCTCTGGGAGGGGAGCTGTGGATGGAGCCAGGTCAGTCTGTTGCTGCCGTGGCCTTCCTGTCCCCACCCGTCTGGACTGTTGACCGGAGCATCCTTATCTTCAGCTCCTCCCTCCCTGCTGTTCCCCATCCCAGGCTGCCTGTGTTTGATACAATGCTTTTGTGTCCTTTTGCATTCCCAAAGCCTCCATTTTGAGAAAACTTAGCTACCAACTGTGCTGATTCCCGAGAGATTGAGTTGGGGTGGGAGGGAGAAGAGGACATCATTCCCCTTGACTGTAACTCTTCGCAGCTGCTAGGACCCTGTGTACTGGCCCTGGGCTCTTGGCCCTTTCAGTCCTAGCTCACTGAATCCACCCAAGGATCCTCTGGGGAGGGGACTGCTCTGATCCCTGTTGACAGGGAAACCATTGAGATGTCTGGAGAAGGTACACGACCCACCCTGGGTCACACATAGTGTCAGGAGGACCCAAGCAGAGACTGAGGCTGCTCCTCAGGCCGCCTGAGGGAGGCCCCGCACCTCCTGTTTCCCTCAGTCCTCCTGACTGCCCATCCGGCGTGCCTTTGCCTGGACCCAGGCCGGCAGCGTCTTCGAGGCCAAAACGTCAGCAGGGAAGGCAGTGAGACTGTGTGGAAAGTGGCCACGGTCTATGAGCTTCCTGTCCACCTGTCTCTGGTCTGGCTGGCTGCAGGCTGCTTATCTGGGCTGTATAGTTGGGGCAGAGAATGGCGGCCTTGAGGCGCCCTGGGGTCATCTGAGTGGCCGGCACAGGTGACCTGGGAGGGGGGCTCCCCTCGGGCAGCCCTGGACATTACCCGAGGCCAGAAAGCCAAGTGATTTTGACTTTAGCGCGCGGGCACCTGGTCCCCAGACCAAAGCCCCAGTGGGTGTGGTGGCCCCGAGGCCCAGCTGGGGACGGTCCTCACGCTGTCTCACTTGCTCTCCCCTCAGTGGCCCTGCCTCCCGAGAAGACAGACGGGTTGGCCAGCGGAGATGAGAAGAAGAGGGAGAAGGCGAGCGAATCTTGCCCGGGCTCCAAGAAGCAGCTGAAATTTGAAGTAAGTTCCCTTTCCTGGCGCTAGGCTCTGGAGAGTAGGGCTTCTATCCTTTTGGCAGTGCTTTTCGAGGAGGGGCGCTGAGGCCCGTCCAGATGCAGAGGGCTTTCACCTCCCGTGTGAACAGCTGCCCTTTGTGGGAGGTTTGTCCCGCCACGTCTGGGGCTGCCCCAGCTCCGCGTGGGCCCTGAGGACTCAGCACTGCCATCCCACGGGGCTGTGGCCCGGCAGTCTGGGGGAGGACGTGAGCGGGGGCCGGGGGGACAGCTGGCCCTGGCGCTTCCATTACTGTACTAGGGGACTGCCTTCCCCTCTGGGCCTCAGTTTCCTCGTTACTGGAAGAAGCCTTTGATTCGACTCCTGAGGCTGTTCTGGGGAACATGTCGGGGCTCCCGGGTGGGCTGGAGGCAGAGTGGCAGGAGGCCCTATCTGGGACTCAGTTTCCCCATGCAGTCAACAGCTAAAGGAACACGTCGCCCTAGAGCTTGCAGTCTGTCTGTCCTGCCCCATCCCAAACAGTACGTTAAGCTCCTTCTGTGTACCAAGCAGGGCCGGGTGCCGGAGAGCGGAACCCGGGTGTGTTGGCACGGAGCTTACCAGCTTCTCTCTGCCCTCCCTTCTCCTCCCTTCTTCCTTCTCTGCTTCCCTCCATGAGGCCACTAGGGCATAGCTCTGGAGCCAGCAGCCTAGGGTTCCCATCCCCACTGGCCTCCCCTGGGAAATGTGGGTAGTTTCAGTCTCTTTCTTATCGGGGTATTTATCGTAGGCCTGGTGAGTTAATGCGCCTAACATGCTTAAAAGGGTGTCCACTATCACGTCAGCACTTTCCTTCTTCCTTCCAACCAAGCTTGATTGACACCTGCCGGGTACCAGGGGACCCCACAGTGAATGGGGCATGGCCCTGCCCTCCCGGAGCACGGTGTGGTGAGGGGGACGGGAGAGTGACCTAGACCCAGTAACTGCACAGCTAGGGATGTGATGGGGGTCCGGGAGCACGCGGAGGGGTGGCCGCCTCGGTCAGGCTGGGGCGTGCAGGGTTTGGAGGCAGTTCCTGAGTGTGTGCAGGGTGGTGGCTGTAAGCAGACGGGGCGGATGCAGGTCTGAGTTGAGCCTCTGAGTGCAGGAGTAGGAGTTGGGAGAGGTGAGGACACGGAGCCCCTGGGATAAGGAGAGCACTTCCGGCTGAGGGAACGGCAGGAGCAAAGGCCCAGAGGCCTGTCGGTGCCGCAAGCTGTGTGGACACAAAGCTGCATCGTGTTGCGTAGTGATGGTGGGTGGTCTGGGGAGATGACTCGGGACAGGGTGTGAGCCGGGTCACAGTGGGCCCTGAATGCAGGAGCTGAGGGGGGCGGGCAGCATCCCGTTGGGGAGCTGGGGCTGCTAGCTGCTTCCGGGAGCCCACCGGCGTCCCTGCGTGTCTCCTGGGGTGGTTGGCAGAGCCGAGGGCCGAGTGCAGCGGCAGAGGGAAGGCTCAGACCGAGACGTCTCACTTCCCTGGAGGCCCGAGTGGGCCGATTTCTGGGAGGGCCCGGCTGACTGCCCGGGACTCATCCACGGCCCATGAGGAGGACTCACCTGAGAAGCCCAGGTGGTGGGGGGCTGGGAGGACAAAGACATATATGACAGAAGTTGAGGGGGGGATAGTTACTGAACCCCGAGCTGTCTTTGGAGCCGTGCAGGAGGGCCAGCGAGAAGGAATCAGATGAACGCTGTGTGAGTGTGAGTGTGTGGGGGGGGGGGCATGTGTGCAGGGCGAGCGCTGTACTACATGAAACGGCGTCTCACAGAGCAGAGCGGGCACTTGGCAGGTATCAGATGGGCATGTCACAACTGAGGGAAGGCTGACTTTGAACTCCGCGTGGGCCGCCCGAGGACTGCTGGAGGGAACTGGCTTCGAGCTGCAGAGGCTGGGGGCAGGGACGCCGCGCTCGGGCACATCCCTGCCAGTGTTCAGGGGCCAGGTACCGCTCCTCTCTGGGGGCCCGAGCCCGTCTTCCTGCAAAAGGGGAGGGCAGCTGAGGCAAGACGCGGAACGGAATGGCCTGGGGGCGTCTTTGCTTGTTTTCATAGACTCTTGTGACCCTCTTTGGCAAACCAGCCAGCCTTTCTCGAACTTTCTATCTGGTGTTCAGCTGGCTCCTCCATACACACTGCCAGGGACAGAGCTCATCACTGCCCAGCTCGGGTGCCTGTGGTTAGACGTGTCGGGTCCTGTGAGCGATGATAATGAAGTCATTGTTAACATTACGTGCATCATATGTTAACATCACAGCAAAGACAATGGCAGCTACTATCATTAATTGGACTTCTCTAGGTGCCAAACCATTCCACGCTTTTTCCAGTTCCCCCGTTGCAGAGCCTGAGGCAAGCACTTGGCAGGTGATCGCAGGGAGCAGCAAAGGAGGGAAGCCAGTACCAGTGGGTGAAGGGGTGGATTGGTGCCAGAGCAGCTGGGCTGTGCAGAATGCCTCACACTGCCCCGGGCGCTCAATCCCCGGCTCTTCGGGTCTTCCTCGGACACAGAAGCCGGCTGCTTAAGGTGGGAGGTCGGGAACCGTCCGCCACAGCTGCCCGGGAACGCCGAGGGGATGCGGGGTGGGGCGCTTCATGCTCCCATCTGCCTCGTGAGAGCAGTAACTGGCCTTTCCCATGATTTACACGAGGGGAAACTGAGGTACAGAGAAGCCATGCCCAGGGTCACACAGCCATGGAGGGCCATGTACCTGCTGGCACCCGGGGCTGAGCTGGGGCTTTACCTTTTAGTGCTCGCTCACCCTCCCCTGCCTTCCAGGTCAGGTGGCCACCCTGGGCATCCTGTAATAGCTTCCTGTTACTAGTCCCTGTGTCTTCCAGTAACTTCTGTCCCTTGGTCCAGGTTCCGTCGCCCTGAGGCCACGAAGCCTCCTCTCAGACCCCCAGCTCACACCCCCGCCCCGCCCCGTGTTTCTTTTGCCTTCAAAGACCCAGAGGCTGTCCGGCACCCCTGCAGGCGTCTCTCCCGGGGCCAGACCTCCCCTGCCCGGCCTGGCCTCCCCACCTGGTCCCTCATGTCGTGGTTGTTGTGCTCTTCCTTCACACGAGGTCTGGGGAGGGCAGTGGGGAGGCGGCCGCCCCGTGACCTGGCCTCTGGGTACTCCAGCCACATTCGTGGTTGTCTGTCTGTGTCCAGGAGCTACAGTGTGACGTGTCCGTAGAAGAGGACAGCCGGCAGGAGTGGACCTTCACCCTGTACGACTTTGACAACAATGGCAAGGTCACCCGTGAGGTGAGTGCACCTGCCGGGCCGCCGGGGCTTCAGGGAGACCTGGAGGGCTGTCCCGCAGCTGCCTGGTGAGTGGGCAGCGGGGACAGAGGACGGGGTGGCCGGGCTCCCCTGCACTCAGCCTAGGCACTGCCCCCCCCGGGGGAGGGCAAGGGCGGGAGGCAGGCGCAGAGCCCTGAGGGCTCCCCAGAGGAGGACCCTGAGTCCCAACAACGTCCCATCCTGCCTCCTCCCTCGAGTCCCAGAGCTCTGGCTGGGGCAGGGGCTGCGACCATCCCAGGCCACTTCCCACCTCAGCCAGTGCGCCCAGGAGCTGGGGCCGGGTGGGCACACGGAGGCCAGGCAGTGCCTCCCTCTGCCGGGCAGGAATGAGCACCCCCAGCACCGAGAACTCTATGCCTGGCCTGGCCACGGGCCTGTGCTTCACCACTCTCTCCCTCTGAACGCCGGCGTCTCTGCCCTCCGCCCTCCTGCCACACCTCCGTCCCCCCTGTGTGCCTCTCACCCTTCTTCCACGCCTCTGTCTGAATACTGAGCACCCACTGTGCGCATCCGCCATGCCCCAGCTGTGGGGACGAGGGGACGAACAGTTCAGACACAGCTTCCAGCCTGTGGCTCCGACAGCTGCTGAGGGAGGCCGGTCCCAAACAGTTACAGGACGGTTGTGAGGTGAAGGAGATCAACAGTGTGACAGAGAGGGGCCCGTGTGTCTAGGGAACCTCCTAGGGGAGCGTGGCCGTGTGGAGCTGGGGGAGAGGCGCCCGGCAGGTGCAGAGCAGGAGTGCTCGGGGTGTTGAAGGTGCTGGAGGAGACCCGTGTGGCAGGCCCTGGTTTGGGGTCCTGGGGCTCAGGGAAGCCACCGATGGGTTGGGGAAAGCAGGGGCAGGACCTGGTTGGAGCTACTGCAGTCTCTGCCTCCCTTTCACCCTGGGCCTGGGTGCCACCCCTTCTGCCTCCTTGTTGCTTTTCCCACTGTCGCTCTGCGACATCCTCTCCCTCCCCAGGAGGCCCTGGTTTTCAGATATGGGACCTGCTACCGGTCTGCACAGGGGTCTGAGAGCAGCATGGCTGGCTCCGCGCCCGCGTCACGTGCAGCTCACGAGGGCGTCCGGGGTGTCCCCAGAGAAGCTTTGCTGTCTTCTCTCCCTGCCTGGTTCAGGGCTACAGATTTTCTTTTCTGTGGCTGGTGCAGGAGAAGCTGTCAGAGGGGACGCCTGGGTGAAAAAAGGGTATCTCTTCCTCAGGCCATGGCCTAAGGAATATTCGAACAGGGCTGGGGAAGAAACTGTGAGTGACTTAAAATCATGCAGGGTTCCTGGGGAGGTAAGTGACAGAATCCCAGCAAACTGTTATAGATTAAAAAAAAAAAAAAGGAATATATTGGTTCACATAACTGAAATGTGGTCCAGGGCACTGACTTCAGGCATGGCTGGATCCAGAGGCTCGGTGCCTTCAAGACTAGCTACCTGCAGTGGCTCTGTTTCCTCTGTGTTCCTCATTGCCCAGCAGCCCTGCCCCTGGCCAGTAGCAAGGTGATGGCTGACATTTTCCCTCTATCCGGGACTCTCAGCAGCTCTCCCAATTCAGAAGTTCCAGAACTAAATCTCACTGGCTCCGACCCCCTCACACGAGTGGCCCTCACCCAGTCATTTTTGCCATGGGTTTGCAATGCTTGAGATGGCCCTATTCCGGGTCGTGGAGCCGAGGGGAAGTTTTCGGATACGTGAGCCACGAAGACCGAAAGTGAGAGGGGGCGTGTAATCGGCTCACAATATAAAATCAAGCAGGGGCAGGACCTGGTCTGAGCTACTGCAGTTATTAGGGGGCAGGGGAATGGATTCCGGGCAGGCAAAGCCCCAAGAGAGACCTGGGTACTTGGGAAGCAGTGGAAACCCTTCTTGGTTGGAGATGTTGGGGAGGCCGGGGAGGGGGGCATGGTTTAGGTGAACCCCCGTCTCCCTCCAGCTGTGATGCTTTGTGTGGAGTAAGCGGCCACCGTTCCTCCCCATCCTGTTTGGGAATGGCCGCTGCGGTGTAATTATCTTCACAGGGAAGCACACTGCAGTCTGGAAGCTTGGTTAACTGAGCTGAATGGCGGTGGCCCCAGCTGTCTATCAAGGCCACACAGGCAGCTGGGCTGGGCTTCTTGGGGGTGCGGTGGGTGGCATTGCCCTGTCTTCTCACTCATGTGGCAGCCAAGACCCCGCTGCCCCTGTTAGCCGCCACCTTCATTCCTTGCTGGTTCGGAGATGCTGACCATAAGAGGGTTGGCCCCCCGCTCGGAGGCCTTGCAGAAACCCGCGGGCAGACACTGCCATCTGGTTCTGCATCTTGCCTTTCTTTACCCTCGGTAATGAGAGGAAGAGCAGGGAGGTGAGGGTTCCCGAGGAGGGTGCCCCAGCCCGGCCTAGAGAAGGCCATCCCTGGATCGTGTCTTCCTTCTGCCGAGGAGCGAGGGGGCTGGCTTCCAGTCCAGGGAGAACCCAGCCTCGTGTTTCCCCTTGGTCTATTTTTAGCCCCAAGGCCACTCCTCAAAGCTGGCTATAAATACCGGTCCCCTCCATGCTCTCTGGCTGTCTGCAGGCATGTTTCTGTGCGCTGGGGCAGACAGGCTCCCACCTCACTGCAGCTATGGCCCAGAGCTGGCATCTGGGCTCACTTCCCAACTCAGAAGAAAGTACCTGTTCATTTGTGCAATAAATATTCACGAGCATCTACTTCTGTGTGCTGGGCCCCGTACAGGCAAGAGTCGATTTTTCAGCTGGGATTGCCAGAGCAGGCCTGTTCCTAGACCCTGAGTCACTGCCCCCCACCCTGGCTTGAGATAGGACACTTGGGGGATAATGTTGGTGGACCTCACCTTCCTCATCTGTAAAATGGAGACACTGGGTCCTCCTGCATGGACTTCCTAAGAAGGAGGGGGCAAACGTGGGTGTGCAGAGCAGCTCAAGGGAAGAAGGGGCGAGAAGAGGAGTCCTCTGCGGGCCTGGCCAGAGGAGCTGAGATTGCTGAGTGAGCCAGTGAGCCTGGGTCTCAAACTGGCAGCCTTCACAATCCCAACGTAGCCCCGAGATGTTCCGGCCCAGCCCCCCAGAAGGTTTTGTTAAAAATTAAGTTATCACAGGCAACCGAAGTAAAAATAGATGAATTGACTACATCAAAATTCAAAACTAATGTGCATCAAAGGACACAGCAGAGTGGAAGGCAACCTACAGAAAGAGAGAAAATATTTGCAAATCACGTATCTGATAAAAGATTAATATACAGAATATAAAAAGAACTGCACCTCCACAGCAGGAAAGCCAACAACCCAATTAAAAAATGGGCAAGGAACTTGATCATTTCTCCAAAGAAGAGATACAAATTAATGGCCAAGAAGCCCATGAAAAGGTGCTCAACATCACTCATCATTAGGAGATGCAAATCAAAACCGCAGTGGGATCTCACCTTATATGCGTTAAGATGGCTACTATGAAAAAACCCAATAGACCGACAATGACAAGTGTCCCCGAGGAAGCGGCGACAGCAGAACCCCTGTGTGCTGTGGGTGGGAATGTTCGGATGGCATGGCTGCTGTGGAAGGCCGCGTGGAAGGTCCTCAGAAAGCTAAACACAGAATTCCCATATGACCCAGCAATTCCACTTCTGTCTGAGTCTCTGTAGCCCAAAGCAGGGTCTCAAGGAGATACCTGGACCCCCAGGCCCACAGCAGCATTTTTCCCAAGAGCCAAAAGGCAAAGCCACCCAAGTGTCCCTGGCTTCCCTCAGCAGAGGGGTGGATAAACATATACATACAATGCAGTATTATTTAGCCTTAAAAAGAAAGGAAATCCTACCAGGTGCCACAATAGGGATGGGCCTCCGGGACCTCTCGCAAAGTGTGACAAGCCAGTCACAAAAAGACCAATCCCACGTGATTCCACTTCTATGAGGTACCTGGAAGAGTCAGATTCATGGAGTCAGAAAGTGGAATGGTGGTCAGCAGGGGCTGGGGAGATGGGAAAACGGGGAGTTGACAAAAATTAAATGAGTTTCCAGTATCAGAGATTCTGAAGATTTAGCCGAAGATTCTGGATTTCTGGAATGACCCTCCCTTAGCCAGCACTGCCACGGAGCTAGTCAGCAGTGCCGAGTGGGAGCCACCTCTGTGGGTTCCCCACTCCGGGTCACTCATCCATATACCTGCCTGGCCATGGTAGTGCTTGGTGTCACCTCTGTCTGGGAATAAGGTGAGGGCTGAGTCTGTCTGTTTATGAAGAGCCGCAGGGCTGATAATTGGCCATCTGTGGGCCCGATCTATAGAGAGCAAATACCTTTTCCAGAGGCTTCATCATTTATTTTTATTTATTTTATTTTATTTT